GGCGTGATACTAATGTTTTTCAAAATCAATTTGGATTCATGCCGGGTAGGTCGACTATGGAAGCCATACATTTATTAAGAGGTTTGATGGAGAAATATAGAGAAAATAAGGAGGATCTACATATGATATTTATTGATTTAGAAAAAGCATATGATAAAGTTCCAAGAGAAGTGCTATGGAGAGTTCTTGAAAAGAAAGGAGTCAATAATTCTTATATTCAAATCATTAAAGATATGTATGCATGAGCTATTACTTGTGTTCAAACACAAGGTGGTTTGACCAAGTATTTCCCTATTTCGGTTGGGTTACATTAACGATCAGCCTTAATCCCATATCTTTTTGCTTTAGTCATGGATGTTCTCACTAGACATTTGCAAGAGGATGTACCTTTAAGCATGCTTTTTGCTGATGATATTCTTCTTGTTAATAAGACTAGAGAGGGAGTTGAAAGTAAACTTGAATTATGGAGGTCAACATTAGAGACTAAAGGTTTTCGCTTGAGTAGATCTAAAACAGAATATATGGAGTATAATTTTAGTAGTAATAGACCTAGTGAGGGGATTGTGGCTTTGGGCGATCAAGTCATTAATAAGAGTACACGTTTTAGACATTCTGGATCTATTGTTCAGAGTGATGGTGAAATAGATGGGGATATTATCAACAGAATTCAAGTTGGATGGTTGAAGTGGAGGAATGCATCGGGCTTGTTGTGTGATAGAAAAGTACCCCTCAAACTTAAGGGAAAATTCTATAAGATGGTAGTAAGGCCTGCAATGCTTTATGGTGCTGAATGTTGGCCATTAAAAGAGAAGCATAATACTAAGTTAAGTGTGGCAGAGATGAGGATGCTCAGGTGGATGAGTGGCTTTACCCTTAGAGATAGGATACGAAATGAGCATATACGTGAAAAGGTTGGAGTAGCTCCAGTAGAAGATAAGATTAGAGAGAGTCGCCTTAGATGGTCTGATCACATAAAACGGCGGCCTTCCAATGACCCGGTTAGGAGAGTAGAGGTATTAGATTTGCCTTATGATAAGAAAGGTAAAGGCAGACCTAAAAAGACTTGGTTAGAAAATATTAGGCATAACCTTTATTTATTAGATTTAAACGAGAATTCGACCTTTAATAGAACACAATGGAGAAAAAGGATTTATGTAGCCGACCCCACGTAGTGTGATAAAGGCTTGATGTTGTTGTTGTAGCTAAATGAATCAATATATCAAACTAATTTTAATCTTCATAAATGGGTAACTCAACAAGTCAATAGGAACTGGTACAGGATCTATCTCCTAAACTTCTAGTATCTTATTGTGAGTGTACCTAGCACTCCTGCTTGTTTGAATAATTAACATCAAGATAGCTTAACATAAACTATAGTGGAGGAGTGATTATAATATTCAAAGGACTTTCCATGTTGATGCACTACTCTTTATCCATTGTACTTGACACACCTCATATCAAGGATAAAATGGCATTATCATGATACATTGAATGTGCTACTCTCTTTCACTCTCAATCTCTCTTTGAGGCTTCAATCTCTTTCTTTTGGAAATCTTTCTCAGTCTCTAATGAAAGTCTATTATAAACTACTCTCTCTATGAGGAATCGCTCTCTCTCTATTTATTTCTCTCTTAAAAATCCCTCTTTCTTAAAAACTCTCTCTCTCTCTCTCTTGATAGTCTCTATCCCCCTTTTAGAAGCCTCTTTCTCTCTTTACCTCACACTTAAAGCCTCTATATCTCTCTATTTAAAGCCCCTCTCTCTCTTACAGGATTGTGTCATGCTCTTATAAAAGCCTCCTTCTTTTTCTTATTTGTCTAACTCTCGCTTTCTTTGAAGCTTGCCTCAGTTAAAAAAGCACCCCTCTCTTCTAGAAGTCTCTCGCTATCTCTCTCATTCTTAGATTTCCTCTCTTTCATAGCTTTGTATCAACCTTAACATCTTTTGTAATGTATGGCGGATGCAGTTTGCATCCATCGTGCACACACACACCCCTAATAATTTCTTATTTTTTGGAAAGATGAGGGTTATGCCCATCCAATTCATTCATATAATCACAATGACAAGACAGTTTTTCTATGAGTAATTACAAAACCCAAAAAAACTAAATAAATAATTTCACAGATAATAAAACTTAAGCTTTAAACCAAAGAAGAAGATTAAAAGCGAATAAGAAACAAGTGAAACAAAAAAGTGGCTCAGATGACAAGCAGCAGTGTTAATTATGGAATCCGTCAGAGACATGAGAAACATCCATCTAAGTTAAACAGCTGCAACAACAACAGACCCACGCAACAGGTGAGAAAAAAGCTGAACTGGGCAACCCAACTGAATAAAAGCCTTAGTTTACAAATAACAGCATAATCCAAAGAACTCAGAACAGTGGAGATGCCCAGAATAGCATAATATAAGCGATTGCAGCATTGCAGCATTGCAGCAATAAACAAACCCCACCCAGCAAAATAATAGATACAAGCATCAGCAAAAACAGTAGCCGCGGTAACAGAACGTCTAAACTGTCACCAAAACATAAAATTTTCAGGGGAAACCAAAATATTTTTTCGAGCAGCAATTAGCGCAAGTATTTGCAATTAAAAAAAAAAAAGAGGAGATTAAAAGATATCAGTTCAATGTTGGTGATGAGAGCATTCTTCTCCAAACTGCGAATGACTCGCGCATAATAAGGTAGATGATAGCAGTAAGCGTCCATAATATCCTGCAGACCTAAGAACCGGTTGTGACCAATTAACCGCAACTGTTTCTCTCTATTCCAAGGCCGGTCCCGAAGGATATCAGCTTCATTGATCTCCATCATCACAGCAAAGTCCCAGCTTATTTATTCATTATGGTAACTATAAGTGCCTGTAAAACTCTAAACCTATGTTTCGCACACCACAATACAGTTAACAGTTCCACTCCGGAAAAGTTATCTGGTGTGAAATTTCATGTACTAGACTACCCAAACCATCTAATCAACCAAGATTATATATAAAAGGGATAATTAGATCAAAAGAAAGTCTTAGGCCAAGCAAATCCTAGTAACCAGATCCTATGTGAACAACTACATGAATAGAATCCGAAAACACTGCAAAGATAAATCCTTCAATATTATAAACCGGGCGTTTGATTCTCCTCGTGATGATTCTCCTATTCATCCAAAACAACGCAATTCATATCCCGATATCCGGGATATGTTCCGAAATTCTTGAGTTAAACTGCTCCAAGAGTGCCGTGTAAATTTATTCAATAAAATGCAACGAGAAAAGAAGAACAGATAAAGGGGAAGGATAAAAAGGAAACGCAATTCTGAAGAAAAAATGGAGGAATCGGAACTCGCACCTTAGAATCCACCTCGAGGGTCTCTTCGATGCCCTAGCAGCCACCGACCCATTCCCAACAGAGTACCGGGGCTCGAGGGATCGTGTTGAAGCAGATCAAACCCGAAGACGGAAGAAAACGAGCTTTAAGAATAAAAAAAAAAGGAGGAAGAGATTTAAGAAGAGGAAATTATTGAAGTGATTTGAGTTGCTTGACTCGCTTAGCCATAGTCGTCGAAACAGTAAGGCAGACAGCCGCCCAACTACGTCGATGAAACCTTGATGCATACTAAAGCATATATTTTCTATGCGGGCAATCAGATCTGCCGTTAAAAGCTTCCCGAAAGCATATCTAAACCGCCGGCCGGCATCGCTGCTATATTCACCGTTGTTTTGTAAAAAGCCTTGAGATTCTATGCGGGCGTTCGCTCCGCATAGGGGAAGACCGGGAAGGAAAAGGTTAGTGTGGGTTATCGTTAATTATCGTTTTCTACTTTACTGTGGCGGGGCCTACAATTGGAGCTTAGCTGAGTTACGTCCAATCCGGCGTGGGCATGTGGAACAGCTAGGATAGATATTTTCCTCTTCCCGTGGGCTCTCACCCATTAATTAGTGAAGATAAAATTTTTATTTATATTAATTGTTTAATTTTTACACCTAATACTACCAGCCCATCCATAGCAAATCATGTGGTGGAAAAAATATATTTATTAAACATTTATAAGAAACCCCATCAGATTCAGCTGGGTTGGTGGGCGAGCATGATTGGGAACCCTCGACCCATGTTCGAATCCACTCTCATGCGGTGCGACCCCTTAGTGAGGAGAAAATAACTATGAGTCTTGCGCCTGTGGGGCATGTTGTTGGTAGACTTGTCGAGTGATTAGTTACTACATATCATTAGATGATATTCTCTTATTTATAATAGAAATTATCAAAATTCATCATCAAAATAGCATTACTCTGATAGAAAATATATTAAAATAAAATTTAATTTGTTAAAATTATACATATCTTATTGAATGGATGGGCGATATTGATCTATTTGATCATAGATTGCTCTTTGATAATTTGAATATCTTAATGATATTAGAATTCGACGATCTTAAGCTCGTTGGAATCGTGTAGTCAGCCGCTCGATTTGCCTATAAGCATGTCATGTTTGGAATTCGTTTGATAATCCAAATTATGTTCTAAATCTTCTAAATATGTTTTGGACCCTTGATTTGGGCTTGGATTGAATCAAATTTGATGTTGTTGGATTCAGTCTCCTTGAGATGTTTAATTTGACTATAAATTTGCTGAAAATAGAAATCAAATAGTCCTGATTTTAATTTTGAAAATTTTCAATTCAAATTGCATCGAGATTCGTATCCAATTAAGATGATTTCTTGGTGGCATATCAATTTAATACTCAAATATTATTTAAATTTATTTTTACAGTTAAACTAATTAAGATTTTGTTTGGAACGATTTTTTTTATATTTTTTAAAGCAATTTTTTATATAAAAATTTAAATTTTTATACTAAAAAATAATTTTAACCAACAGTAAGAAATCCGACCGAAACTAAGCCTAAATTTAAAAGTATATTTTCAATCTTTAATTCAAATAATTAAGTGCTCCTATAATATAAATTTGTATCTACATATAATTTTTGTTAGAAGTATATTTTTTTTATTTTAAGATGCGCGATGTCATTCCAGTCAATCTTTACAGCTGTTTTTCCGTCAGTCGTAGCTTTCTCATTGGCAAACCGCCAAGGGGAGAAGCTGTTCTTTTCCTCCGGGAAATGCTGAGAGGCAAATGGACTAAGAGATAAGCCGTGCAGGAATACTGCATGTGTGGAAAGAAAATATCTAGCTATGGACTTCCGCTTTTCATGTCACTCGCGTCCATGCGATGCTACACGTGTTCACGAAGGTTGGATGAAATAGAAATTTCACAGCTGGTTTGGTCTGTAATTAAACCAATTTGAAATCAAAATGCTGAAACGAAATAAACAATTGTGAAAAAATAAAATCAATATAAGACATGTAAAAAAACAAAACCATACCCAATATGAAGATGTGAATTTCTTATAATATTATATATAAATATATTTTATCATCAAACATAACTTTTGATGTTTATTTGAGTAAAGGTGTTCTCATCGATACGAAAAGTGACTAAGTCTATGTCTAAATGATTTCATATCAAGAATTATAAATCTAATAGAAAAATGTCAACACATTAATTAGATGAACAAACAATCTTTAAACTTCTCATGTTTGAAGTCAACTTGAATGTCTCGATAAGACAAATTCAAAAAGCTTAAGAAAAACGGTCTATAATCAAGAATAGTAATATATATCATTTGATGAAGTGTTCCATATTTACTTACATTTACGCGGCATACCACTTTAAAAGGTGTATAAATAAGCTCTCACTCTCCAATATAAAGGGGGAGAGTCTTGGCTTACGATTTAAGAGAACTCAAAAACTCTTAGAATGTCGAAGCCCCACTCGAGCACCACTGTCAGGCCAACGATTGACCGTTATCGTCGGACTATTGCTTGATCATCACTGTCGGACCACCACCTAGCTACCACCATAAGAAAATCACCCAATTGTCACTATTAGAACCCCACCTGATCACCATCATCAAACCAATGCTCAATCACCACTACCATCACCCAACTATAATCCTCCAATATCTATTCCTAGCAGGGGAACTCATAAGAGAGTTAACTTGAAACTTGTGCAATAATGGAGATAAATTAGTTTATAAAAAAAAAATATGTAAAGAAATACTCAAGGAGTTTGAATCTCGTTTAGTCAAACGATCTATGTTGAGCTAAAGGGGCCTGTGTCTGGAAGGCTTTTTGTGGTTGTTGATGGCCTATGCTGAGAGCCTCATGTCGTCTTAGAAGAGATATGTAAGTGGTTTGTTATCTAAAACTCCACCCAAGCACCAGCGCCGACTATCATTGGACCTCCACTAGACCACCGTAGAACCACCTCTACGTCGAAAATCGCTGACGGACTACCGCCCAACCTCTGATCACCATCGCCTACGAATTGTGATCCCTCAGACCTCCATCGCCCACTGACTACAATCCCTCTAACCACTGTCCCCACCGACTACGGTCCCTCCGACTACCCATGTCTAATAACTATTTGTCCCTCTTATCACTGACGCACCATTTGTAATCAACTACAAATAATAGTGTAATCATTTTAACTATGTCAAATCTCATGGTATTTCCCTTTTTCAGGGGTTTCCATATAAAAAATCTTTATGTCTCTCATGACTCTGGCCCCCCCCGGACTCTAAACTCTATATATCGCTACTGTTGTGAATGCTCTAGTCTGCAACATAAAAATAGTTTACAACCAGAAAATTATAATTATTTATAAAAAATAATTATCTTGTATATTGACTTAGATTTATGTTTTGATGCATGATAAAATATTAAATTTATCACAGAGAGAGAAAGGTTTATGTCTTAGATTTATATGAATATTCTGCACATGCGCATACAAAAATATTTTGGAATATATGAAAAACTCAAATGGGGTAAAGCCAAAAGGATTGACCCTGTTCTAATAGTCTACTAAACAAGTGAGGTTAAGTCTTCTCTTCCACTCAATTGGGTAAGACGTAATTCTTAAGTATAGAATGCTAGCTTGACCTCTTATAGTCTGTGAATATAATAAAGAATATTAGAGAAATAATGAACGGTTATTACAACAATCAAACTAAGACTGTCATGTGATGATAATTGGGCAAAAAGAGTTGGATGATGAAGATAGCTTTAGTCAAGTAATAACAGTTGAACGATGACGATTCGACAATAACACTCAGATATTAATGCTTATTTGGTAATGATGATTAAACGACAACATTCAGGCAATGATAGTCAAATAAAGATGATTGTTAGTGGTGATTGTGGATGCGATTATTAGACATGGCTCTAGACTTTTTTCAAATCTCGAAGTTGTCACCAAATTAAAATCCCTTAGATGTGAACAATGCATGTTTATTTATTTATTTTTTGATGTAGCATTTAAAATCTTAAAATGCTCCATCAGACAACTCATGTTGACTTCCTCAATCATAAATATTTATTAGACTTTTAAGCGCTTTAGTAACCGTAAGTACAAAGGATTCAAAAGATCATTTAATCCCTTAAATAATTGCATATATTTTGTAATTGTACCTCAAATATCTAATTTGGGCTCATCTTAACTTAGATTAGAATATTTCTAATATTATCGGGCTCGTCTCGTTGAAATACATTTGTTTTAACAATGGTAAGATAAAGTCAAATTTCAGATATTCATAAATTTAATTTTAAAAAATTTTATTTGAAATATTATATTAAGATTTGTAATTGATCACTTGAATTATCTAATGTATCTTGTCCTAATTGATTTAGGCTTTTCTAGACTTGACTTTCATTTAAGAATAAAGTCAGTCCACCTAGTCAATTCGTAGTTCCATGATCCTTGACACCTTGGTCAACACATAGTTTAAAACAATTCAAAACAAAATCTCAAAACCTATCTTGCTAGCACCTTGCATTTATATTGTGCTTATGAAAAATTTTGAATAATAATAGCAACCACAAAAGAGTTCAACCTTGTGAATTCAAATTCAGTTAAATTGATTGACCATAAAATCTAGCAACTACACCATTTTATAATCATTACTCACATATGTCCTTTTCTACGTGAAATTATTCTGTGCGGTTATTGGACGTCGTCCGTAGGCAAATCAAGATGCGCCACATCACTCTTTAGCTACATACTGATGCTGTGTACTCTTGTGTACCGGGTGACATGACGCATTCTGATTCACGTCCAAACCGTCCAGTGATCACACAAAATAATATCTTATAATCCTTCCATTCCCCAGTCCCGCCTGCCTTGCACTAACATCCACCTGCACTGTAGACTCCAAACATGCATTGTTGTTGTCTTAGGCTCTTAGCTCTTGTTCATTACCCCTTTGTCTTGCAATGCCATCCTAGACAATATCTCATGTTGTTCTCTTCCAAGTTCCAACTTGTCACCATGCCAGTCTTAAATCATCATTGCTATGTTGAGCTCTACCTCCTGCAAATTCGACTCGAGATCCCAACACCCCTCCAACTTCTTCATCATGCCACATACAACTACTTATTCAATTATGATTTCAAATATTGGCTTCATTTAGGTTGATTTTTTTAATGTTTTTTAAAATAACTTTTTAATAAAAAAATTAAAAAAATTGTACTAAAAAATTGTTTTAAGAAACATTAAAGAAAATCATCTACATTCTATATATATTCTACTTCATCTCCACTTTCACCTTTTTTTATGAATTTATTTTACGATCAACAAATCAAAGAGAAATTAAAACCTATTTAATTTATATTATATTCTAAAAAGGCACGTATCTTAAATACATCCAAACATCTTAAAAACGTGAATCTTTTATTTTTGGAGTACAGCCGTTCCTCGTTCCTTCATCAACATAAGAAAATCATGACTTATAATTTATTTTACAATGAATAAAATAATAAGAAATTAAAACCTCATATATTTAATTTATATTATGTTCTAAAAATACATGAATCTTAAATGCATCCAAGCATCTCCTTAATGAAATTTAATTAAATAATAATAATATTATTATTATATCATCGAAAAATTATTTTCATTGGATGCGAATCTCGAGGCAAAAATCATGTTGGAAACTTCAAAAATTAAATTGGAGATCATTTGAAGTTTGATTTCAGCAAACTTATAGTCGAGCTGAACGTCTCGGAAATATGAATCCAATGACACCAAATTCGACCCAATTCGAGCTCAAATTGGTCCAAATCAAAGATCTGAAACACATTTGAAAGATTCAATCCATACTTTGGATTACCAAACAGTTTCCAAATGTGGCATGCTTGTAAGCGAATCGAGCGGCTCAACGAGACAAATCTAACAAGCCCAAGATTGTCGAATTATGATATCATAAGAGCCTTCAAATGTCTTATAAACGGTCCACGATCAAGAGATTCAACATCAGCCGTCCATTCAAACCACTCTCAATTTGCCTCTGATGTTCCTCCTATTTACTGGTCATGCCACTCTTAGAAAACTATTAATAACCCCTCATTTCTCTTACGAAGGGTCCCAAATAATAAGAGAAAAAGAGAAGATAATGAAGAAGAGAATGAAGATAAGGAAAAAGCTCATCCTCTATCACCACTGGACTTTTATCCGGCAGTCGACCGAAGACAGAATTAAGCAAGAAGAGAAGAAGAGAAAAGAAGGAAGAGAATAAAGAAGTCCCTCCTCGATCACCGTCGGACTTTTACCTGGCAGTCGACCGATGTCGGAATTAAGCAAGGAAGCAAGAAGAGAAGAAGAGAAGAGAAGCAATAAGATAATGAAGAGAATCAAGAAATTCCTCCTCGATCATCACCAGACTTTTATCCGGCATCCGACCAATGACGGAATTAAGCAAGGATGTAAGGAGGGAAGAAAGAAGAGAATGAAGAGACTCATCCTCGACCACTACCGGAGTGACCCCGGAGTTCTGCCCAAACTCCAAGTGGCGCCGGAGTTCCTCCCAAACTCCGAGTGACGCCGAAGTTTCGCCCGACCTTCAAGTGACGCAGGAGTTTTGCCTGATCACCCAACATCGTCGGAATTTCAATATCTGATTGTAACTAAATTTCAAGTCGAAAGTTGTAATCTGTTCGTCCTTAATTTCAGGGATGAGTTAGCCAGTTGTAACTTAAGCAAACACTGGTGGAATCTTATCAATTGGGTGTGGCCCCGTGGCTTTTCCCTTTACAGGATTTTTCACGTAAAATATCGATGCTCCTTTTTCATTATATTTGTGTGCTGGATGTCCGTGCAATGCATAAACGAAAATTTTCTAACTATATCGCCGCATATATTCTAGCCCGCAACAAATATTAAACTTATATTCATAATCAACATATTCAATTGATAAATTAAACATACTTATACCTTTCTAAAATAGCTAAAAAAAGTTATTTATATTTAATTTACATTATATTCTCAAAATACACGAATCCTAAATACATATTACATATGTCAATAAATGACACGATACACTAATCAGGTCAAAACCTAACCTAAAAAAATTAGGGTCCAAATTGACTTGTTTGATAAATGGGTCAGGTTTAAGTTGATTATTTTGACCTATTTTTTACTAAAAAATGTCTCTAATATTTTTTTTTACTTGTGAGTATAAATTTTTTATTTTTTTTTAATATCTTAAATTTTATAGTTAATAAGTTATAAAAAAATTAATCAAAATGAGTTAACAAGTCATATTCAGATTGTTCAGGTCATTATCATGTCAGGTTTAGGTTTATGTTTTTGACCCATTTATTAAAATGGTTAGGTTCAAGTAAATTGGACTCTAATAGGATCAATTCTAGTTCAAACTCTACACCGACTCATCAAAATGTTTTGACACATGTAATACATGCAATCAAATGTCATATTAATAAAATTTAATTAAAGAATAATCATATTAAACTTATATTAGTAACCAATATATTCTAGCTATGAATTAAACCATTTTTATACACTTCTAGTGACTTAAAAAAGCCATTTATCACTTTCACTAACCAAATTACTTCACTTTAAATCATAAACATTCAAGTGACTAATTTAATATATCTTGACTTTTTTTGGGCATTTAGGTTGATTAACATAAGCTCATACATATATCACTAAACTTTTTATATTTTATTTGAGATAGTTTTAAACTTTTTTTTTTAGTTATATTAAACAAAATCTATAAAATAATAAAAAATTACCCCAAATAAAATAAATTATATCCAAAACTCTAAAAATAAAAAATAAAAAAATATAGAGGTACTTCTTGTCTTAAGCACATAGCTGTCACTTCCAACTTATCCATTTTCTCTCGCTGGCAAAGAGAAAAACGACAACTTGCGCATCGACGCCGGGGATCTCATCCCCTTCCCGCCGCACCCTGCAAATCCCCGCTCTTTCCTTCGCTCACTAAACCCCAAATCTCATTCTTCGACAAGTTAAAAAACATTAATGGGTTTCTTCAAGAACGAGGCGAGTTCCTCCTCCAACTCTCTAGCAAGAACAGCCCACAGTGAGTCGGCGCCACTCCTTAACACCCACGGCCCCATAACACTCTCATCCCAGCCAAAAACCTTCGCGAATGTCTTCATCGCCATCGTTGGCGCCGGAGTGCTCGGCCTACCCTATGCCTTCAAACGCACTGGATGGGCTGCCGGAACCCTAATAATCATCGCCATCGGCGTCCTAACCTACCACTGCATGATGCTCCTCGTCCGCACCCGGCGCCGCCTCGAGCGTGACATCGGATTCGCCCAAATCGCCTCATTCGGCGACCTAGGCAGCGCCGTCGCCGGCCCCACTGGCCGCCTCGCCGTCGATGCCATGATTGTTCTAAGCCAGGCAGGGTTCTGCATCGGATACCTTATCTTCATCTCTAATACCCTCGCACATCTCTTTCCCAACCCGAAATCGCTCTACATTTTAGCGGTTTTCCCTTTTCAACTCGCTCTTAATTCGATCCGAAGCCTGACTCTGCTTGCACCCTTAAGCATCTTCGCTAATATCGTTGACATTGTGGCAATGGGGGCTGTTCTCCGAGAGGATGTTGTGGCCGGAGCTAGATACTGGCCTGATCTGAAAGCCTTCGGCGGCCCGTCTGAAATTTTGTACGGTTTCGGCGTTGCGGTTTTCTCGTTTGAAGGGATGGGGATGGTTTTGCCGCTGGAATCCGAGGCAGCTGATAAGGGTCAGTTTGGAAGAACGATTGGGTTATCAATGGGGGTGATATCGTTCATTTATGTAGCGTTTGGGGCTTTGGGATATGCGGCGTTTGGTGGAGAGACGCGGGATATTATCACCACCAACTTGAGCGGCGGTGCTGTGGCTGTTGCGGTACAGGTTGGTAAAATTTTGGAAAACAACTGCAAGATATCGAAATGTGTTAAATTAGCTGATGGCTTGGAGAAACTATTGTGTGTGGAATCCGAATGCATTCTGATTTCAATCACTGTATGTCATGTTATCGGATGCACTTCGGGACCCAGTGCATGCAGTGACATGACGCATGGTCATTGGAATCCAAATGGATTTGGATTCCGCACATAATAATTTCTCTGACTTGGAACTTTTTTTTATTATTTGTACTTTTCACGCAGCAACATCTTGCAACTAGAAGTGTCTTAGTTTCTCTTCACACTAGAATTTAGAAGTGTCTTGGCTTGATTTTTCTTCTTCTTGCTAAACTCCAAACGTTCAGACTTTCACATATGCCCCTCTGAAGTATTCGAATATCACATATGCTCACAAGCCCTAAAAAACACAAATCATTTCTTATAACAATTCCTAGAGTGAATTACTTCTCCATCCATTTATGCATTTAGATTTGAGTTTATATTCAAATATAAACACATCTCAATATAAAATGGATCGAGATATATAATTACTCATGCATTTGTTTTGTAAGAAATTTCTTGTATGAATTGCCTCACTTGATTAGGGGTAAAAAGAAATGTCTACTTTTACGTTTTTTTCATTGTGTCATTACATCCTATAAATTAAAACAAAAATTATAAATGCCACATATATAATTACTCATAATAAGGTCTCTTCGACCTCTGTCACCTTGTTATTGTCCTTCTGACCACCTTCATCCGACTACAGTCTCTTCGACCATCATCACCAACTAGGTCTTTTTAACCTTAGTCACCCAATTACCACCTTCGCTCAACCAAGGTATTTCTGACCTTCGTCGCCTAACTACGGTCCTTTCGATTGTCATCGCCCAATTACGGTCTTTCTGACATCGGTCGCATGTCGATTACAATCCTTCTAACCTCCATTGTTAGACTACGATCTTTCTGACATCCGTTGCCCGCCAGTTACGGTCTCTTTGAACATCGTTGCCAACTACAGTCTTTCGGGCCTACATCGCCCAACTGCGGTCCTTAAGACCAATGTCACCCGACTACAGTCTTTTTGACCACCGTCGCCCGCCAACTATGGTCCTTCTAACCTCTGTTATCTAACTACAATCTTCGGACCCCCGTTACCCAATTATGGTCCTTCCGACCACCTTCGCCCGACTACGATCTCTTTAACCACCATTGCCAACTATGATCTTTTAGACCTTCGTTGCTCAATTACGACCTTTTTGACCTTAGTCGCCTGCCAACTAAGATCCTTCCAACTTCTATAGTCAGACAATGGTCATTTTTACCATCATCCGACTATAGTCTTTTCAACATCCGTTGCTCAATTACATTCCTTCCGACCACCTTCATTCAACTAAGGTCTTTCTGACCTCCGTTGTTCGATTATGATCCTTCCGACCACTTTTGTCAGACTACGATATTTTTGAACTCCATCACCCGCCGACTATGGTCTCTCCGATTACCATCTTCAGACTATGCCCTCTCCGACCGTCGTTGCCCAATTATGATCTTTCTGACCTCTGTCGTTCGTCGACTACAGTCTCTTCGACCACTATCTTCAGACTACAGTTTCTCCGATCACTGTTGTCCGACTACGATTTTTTTAACCTCCATCATCCGTTAACAACAATCCTTTCGATCACCGTCATTGACTATAATCATTCCTACCACCGTCGCCTGACTACGATCCTTCTGACTTTCGTCGTTGGCCGATTACGATCTCTTCGACCACCGTCTTCAGACTATGATCTTTCTTACCTCCGTCACCCGACTGTGGTTCTTCTAACCTACATCATTCGCTGATTATGGTCTTAACGACAAACAAAAATGTCAATAATGATTATTTCAACTCCCACTATGTTATGCACTCTATATGATGTATATTTGTTACATCAAATTAAGACCTTCCCCCCAATGAAGCTCATTTGTAATAAACTACAAACACTATCTGATTTATTTAAACTGGGCAATGTCCCGTGATTTTTTCCTATTTTCAGGAGTTTCCACATAAAAATTATGGTTTCTCATATGAATGCTAAACCCCTAATGTTTATCTATCTATGTGTTGGATCTTCGTACAAAGCTATGATGTTAAACTTTATATTTCTCTACCGCCGCGAATATTCTAGGACACACTCATCTAATTCGTGAAACAATGATTATAGAAAAATCATAAGCTTGATTTTTTTTTTTTAACGAAATTTGAAGCAATATGAACAAATCCTTTGATGCTTCCACTAAACAAGTCCTATACTTCTATTGAATGGAAGAAAAAAAAAATAAAGATTTGCTATAACAAAAAGAACGAGATAGCATTACGCGAAATACGGCACCTTCATGGATAACAAAATTGAACAAAAAATTCATGAGCATCAATATTATAAAAGTTGAAAAAAAATCTTCGATAAAGGATACACATTATAGCATAAGTGGAGAAATCGAAACTCCGGTGAGGTTCTCAGCCCAGAAATCGCAGCAATCACGTCGAAGTTTTATATGGTAGATGATTCACATAAAGCTAATTAAAAGAGAGTTACTGAGATCGCAAGCAAGTTTCATAGATCTGAAAGCCCTGGCAATACGATAAATCCTGAATTTGAGCCAAAAATTTAATAAAACCAACAAAATCCGTAATTTACATCAATTAAATCCTGAAATTTCTTATTAACATTTTTTATATCAGCGCAGCAAACATTGAGATTCGTAGTAATTCATGATCATTGCTGCAGGTTGGTCTCTGCATCAACCTCTTCTTCACCTTTCCAGTAATGATGAATCCAGTCTACGAAGTGGTGGAGCGGTTGGCGTGCGGAAAGCGGTACTGTGTTTGGCTGCGGTGGGCGGTAGTGGCCACCGTGAGTTTGGTGGCGCTTCTTGTCCCCAACTTCACCGACTTCCTGTCGCTGGTGGGTAGCAGCGTGTGTTGCGTTCTCGGCTTTGTGTTGCCAGCTTCCTTCCATTTGAGGGTTTTCTGGTCGGAGATGGGGTGGCTCGGTGTAGCCTTCGATGGGGCGATTATACTCTCGGGAGTCATCTTGGCAGTTTCGGGCACCTATACTTCGATCATGGCCTTTTTTTGTTCGGTATAGCTGTGATGTTGTCCAAGCCGGTCCGGGTGGTTCCAGCCCAGCCCGTCCCGGTCCGAATTTTGAAGTCCGGTTTTTTGTATGTATATTTAGACAAATTATTTGAAAAAAAAAATAATATGTTTCATTATTTCTACATGTAGAATACCTGAGAATATAACTGTACGCATGCGTTATTTGTAGTACACAGCACTTTATTTATTATCTATTTCAAAAGAAAAATGAAGTACACAATAATGAGTATATTGTTTAGTACTCAATGTATAATTGTTTACTTTTATTATTTACATATAGAGCTACATATATAAAAAATTATAAATGTGAATAGGTAAGGTGGTTCCAGTGAAACTATGTATAGTTGATGAGTTGTCTTAAAGTGATTGTTGGCGGTCAGCTCGGTGGTTCTCTTTATAGTAGAGAAAATTAGTGACCAAGAAGGTGGATATCAACCTTAGTAAAGATGGTGGACATCAACATTTATATTGATTATAGATTTCTAATTTATTGGAAATGTGGGAAGCATGAGTCTTAATGTTGATGATGAGTATTAAATTTATTAGTAATTATAAGCATTGATGTGGTTGGCGATGGTGGGTGTTAACCTTATTATTGATTACAAAAGGCTTCGGTGTTAATGTTGATAGCAAGAGTTAGTATCAATGGAGGGCATGGATATTAGTGTCAATGAGGAGCATTAACATATTGGTGACAATGAACTTTACAGCCATATAATTTTAAATGTATGATCTCTAATATAGAGCTGCATTTTCATTCATTCATGTATTTGTGGTACTTTCAATATTACAATAGGATTCAACTGCTCTGTCATCAAATCGTTGGGTACCACATGTTCATGAGAGATTATTAGGTGCGGAGTGCGGACGGAGAGGATCGTCTGCACATCAGCACAAGCATTGGGTACCTAACGGTACCTGTACCTAGTATTTGTGCGGACGGTGCTCACTCCGCACCTAATAATTTGTCCTCCATAGGTGATATTTTGGACCATTAATGATTCGACAAATCCTATTGCATGGCAGATCAGATCCACCGTCTGCTTGATCGGAGGGATGAAACTGCCTTTATTTCCTTATGCGGCACTATCCGCATGAAACTTCTTCTACTCATGCGAGGCTGAGGGACCACCGAGGCTTCAAACCTACTTCTATCCACCCGATCGCAGCATCCCACCCTCAAAATATCACCAGTCAGATCTTCGCCGCTTGTCTAAGCAGCCCTGGACTGCGCCGAGTTCTGGATAGAAATCCTATGAACGAGGCGTACTTGTGGATATTATACGACTGACAGAAAGATATGTATTCTCTTTTAGATTCGTATTTTAGATCAAAGCAGATGCCAGTGTATGAGTGTAGGGGTCCACGTTAAAGTACTGCGATGTGAAGGATCATCAGAAACCGCGTACGGTCCACCTCTTCTTTTCCCGGCTAACGAAAGAAAACTTCAACAGTTTTCGTTTTCGCCTTCGTCGAATTTTGCTGTCCGGGAAGAGAGATGTCGTGCTCGTCTTCGTCGGGGTCTGAGGAGGACGAGGGCGTGGACGCATACAGGAAAGGGGGATACCATGCCGTGAGGCCGGGAGATCCCTTCGCTGGGGGAAGGTACATCGCCCAGAAGAAGCTCGGGTGGGGGAATTTCTCTACCGTATGGCTTGCCTATGATACGAGATGCAAGGTTGGATCGCTGTTTCTACTCTATTCTCTGTATTTTAATGATTACTTATAGCGAGTCTTGATCGATCAGCTAAACATTTTGAGTGTCTGATGCGTGTTTCTTAGCCTTTTCCATCTCAAGCTTGCATAACGAACTTATTCCCATGGATTTTGTTTTTGAACTAGATCGTAGTCTCTTTATCAGATTGATTTCTGATTGGATTCTTATGATGCGTATAAGTTGTTTTTTGTTCTTTATTCCCATATCTTATTCGTATTTTGTCTCTCTGAAAAAAGCCAGTTTGCTTGATTGTGGTTGTTAAGGTATCAAATTGCTGATGGGTAAAAGCTGAACCTTTTGAGGATGGTGCTTTATGCTTGTAGTTTAGATTTAATAATTGGGGGATTTACATATAAAACACTCGATCCTCTCTATTTACATATCTAATTCCCAAATCCTCTTAGTTACATAAATAGCCTAGCAATTTTTAAATAGCTTCAAGTTATCCACGAATCCAAGCCTACTTTAAACATAGTTCATAGTGTCGGTGTCAAGAATTAGAACTAAACTATAATTAGTTTGGCAGATTGACTACGTACCTACAAGTATAAGTGATGCCTTATGTGCAGGATTAATTATTCTGTGTGGACGCGGTAAGCCGTCTAGAGATCAACCAGAATGCGCCATGTCAGACTTTGCTCGGTACCGCGCCTAAGTACTGCAGATGTGGCGCATTCTGATTGGTCTTTGGATGAAGTTTTGCATCCGATCTCCCCGCACAGAATAATTTCTCCTTATTATGCAGACAGGGTGACAACATCACCAACATGGTTCAGGTTCAGATTCCAATACTAGAAAACAACACATCAACATAGTTCAGGTTCAGATTCCAATACTAGAAATACTGCAATGAATATCTGCTAGATTTTCTATTAACAGGTTTCATAATAAGTATAAACTTCAATTTGTATTTGTATTTGTATTTTTTTTTTCTTAAAACGTGCATCATGATTGTCCACGCGAACAGTAATGCTAACAGTTGAAGTTCACCAAAATAACTTCAAGTAGAAGGCACTTTTAGGTAACATTTGTTGATATAACAACCTGTTAACATCTTCGGACAGAAGGCAGAATCCCATTGAAGGTTCAACTTCCAATCATCAGAAGGATTTATTAGTTGAGGAGCATGGAGGCCACATCTACTATTGTCTTGATGGGATTCACAAGTTATATCAGCAAATAAGAGAAATAATGCATAATTGCTACAATGGTTCACAAGCTGGGATGCAGAGACCAATTGGGTGGTTGGAGATTGAAGCCAAGAACACAGAGGTGGCAGTTGTAGCTGGGTGCAGCATTGATTAGAGATAAAGATAGGAGCTATTTGGAAGCGAAGTTTTAGGTGGGGTTTCGGCATTGGTATGCAGAGTTGTTTAATAGAGATTTAGATGTTGTGGCAAATTTGATGGTATTTAAAGATTGTGATGCTATTAATGTAAATAAGAATAATGGGTTCTTGAGCAAATTTGGAAACTTTCCTAATTAACTAGAACTCATTTTAGGCAGAGAAATAACCACCTTGGGAATTTTGAATTTCAAAATTTGTTGGAGCCAAGAGGGGGCGGCGGCTAGACTAGTGGAGAGAATAGGTAAGAGGTGGAGGCCGGTGGCTGCTGGGGTGGTGGCTGGCGGTTGGAGAGGCTAAGGAGGCCGATGGTTAGGGGTTTTGGGGGAATACCTTGGAGAAGGCTGACGGCTCAAGGTGGTGGCGATGACCCAAGGAGAGGAAGGGGGCGGGTGGCTTTGACCGGCGGCTAGGAGGCTTGAAGTGGCCGGCGGGTGTAGGGAGATGGGGAAGAAGAAAATACTACGAATACTAACTGCGAGTCCCAGAATCCACCGGCGGATGACGGGTGATGCGTGGCCCTCTCCTAGGGTTTCTCCTCTCAAGAACTCACAAAGAGATCCATAAGAAAACTGAAATTTATTTCATAATCATCACCCCCTCTCCAAGAGGAGGGAGAAGGCTTAAATAGCCAATTACATGAAGGAAAATAAAAAGACACAATTGCCCCTAGGGAAAACATAAGGCAAAGCCCTCAAGTGAGGGTAGAAAGGGAAAAAGAACAATAACAAATCAAATACATAAAATATATCAAAATAAATAGACACGATCGTAGCCATTGATCTTCGATATCCTCATCATCGTCTTTGCCACATGGAGAAATACTCTCATTTTTGGCCCATTAGCCTTAGAGCATAGGTAACTTGTCAACTTTGGCATGTACCACCAAGCGATACCATAAATCCAGTATGAGATTTTCCTCATATGGTAGTGAATTGTAATAGTCATTTGTCTACCTGGGACTAGATTCACACCTTTGGTCTGTGATGTCTCCTTGAATGAGGTAAGTTATGTTTGCTAACAAGTATCTTTAGGTCATCATGTGATTATGTAGACTAACGGCACTGACAAACTTAGGATGATAGAACTATTGGATTTTGACCAAGGGTGTCATCTCACTTGATATGGTAGACATTCCTCCATCCATTATTTCCTTTCTCATGGACAGGTGCTGCCAAGTGGCACCCTACATCCATTCTTGGGTAGCTCCCTCTAGTCGATGTGGAGTCATAGGTCTCTTTTTGCATGTTTTTTGGTACCTTTGGGACTATCCTCTTTAATTTCTCGGATGTTTCACCCCTTTCATTCTTTATAGAGCCTAATAGATTTTATTCTAACATACCCTATTTGAACACAAACATATCATTTTTACTTTTGTTAATTAATTGATAAGCTATACTGAGGACTTTACTTTTACTTGCTTTCTGCAAATTAATTTATTGGTTATATTTAGCATCTCTAATTTACCTAAACCTCATTTGGTTGCAGAAATTTGTGGCTCTCAAAATTCAAAAAAGTGCTGCAGACTTTGTACAAGCTGCTCTCCATGAGATCGAGATTCTATCAGCTATTGCCAAGGGCGATCCCTCAAATTGCAAGTGCGTTGTTCAATTACTTGACAATTTTAAGCATACTGGTCCCAACGGGCAACACCCGTGCATGGTATTTGAAATTCTTGGAGATAGTCTGCTACGGCTAATCCGTTATAGTCGATATAAAGGCATTGGAATAAAGAATGTGAAAGATGTGTGCAGACCCATCTTATCCGGCCTTGATTATTTGCATAGGGAGCTTGGAATTATCCATTCGGATTTGAAGCCCGAAAATATTCTTCTTGTTTCCACAATTGATCCTGCAAAAGATCCTGTACGTTCAGGATTTACTCCGATGTTGGAGAGGCCAGAAGGAAACATAAATGGAAGTTCAGTTGTTAATAGTATTGAGAAGAGGCTCAAAGAGAGGGCTAAGAGGGCAAGAGTTCGGATCTCAGAAAGAAGAGTTGCAATGGGAGGTTTTGGGCAAGGGGTTGTGCAAAACGAGAGGAGTCTGGAGGGGATTGATCTAAGATGCAAGATTGTAGATTTTGGTAGTGCTTGTTGGGTGGATAAGAAATTTACAGGTGAAATTCAAACAAGGCACTATAGGGCTCCTGAGGTTATTCTTGGGGCTGCATACTCCTTTCCTGCTGATTTATGGTCTTTTGCTTGTATCGTTTTCGAACTTGCCACCGGCGATATGTTGTTTTCACCTAAAATTGGACAAGGGTTTTCAGAAGACGAGGTATGCCTTCGCTTGCCTCTTTACTTCTAGGACGTATTTTTTTAATCTTTTTGTTAGCATGTGAAATATAATAATAAGAATCGCTGTAATGAAGTTTTGACTACAAGTGGATGAAAATGGAACATTGTGGTGACAAAATTTTACTTAACCATATTTATGTTATCTGAGTTTAAGTCATTCATTTTCTTCAGAAGATATCAGTAGACATAAGCATTAAACATGGTAAGAAGATTCACGTCATGGTGATGAAACTTTAATAAGAAATCAACAGTAAGAACTAATGCGAATGATGTGGGGATAGTGCTGAGTTTACTTTGCTATGCTTGTGATGACTAATTACAAATCACACCTCTCTAAAATATATCATGGAAGAAAATCATTAGACCACTGGAGATGCACATCGTGGAATGTCTGCCAAATGATCTTTGACAAAGTGACATCCTTAAATTTTCGTACCAAGACGATGCAATGGGACTAATATTTTTTTATTTGCTTGTCTTAGAAAAGTGTTGTAATAGATGATTATCTCTATGGTTAATGTGGCTACTCAGCAACCTTGAAGAACTTCTCTCTTGCTTCAGGCCTGAAATAGTTAAAGCAAATGAAAAACCTAGAAGAATGACGTGGCAACTTGATTTTTCTATTGGCTGATATTGAGTGTTTTAGTCTTTTGCATTTGAATTGTCCAATTGAGTAGATTTGTGATAGGAAATGCTTATAGGGACAAGAATTCCCTTTGCTGAGTTTGAATTCTAGCACTTGCCAAAACAGATTGGAGAAGAATTTGGAAGAAATAATTAGAAATAAACCTTTTTATTGATAAAAGAAGAAATAAACGAACAAGATACAATGAATCCTCAATTGGAGAGGAGAATTCGTCTCTCTCAATTGGAGAGGAGAATCCGTCTCTCTCAATCTCTAGCCGGTGGCTAGAGCCCAAGCAAATCCTAGGAACTCAAAATTCAGCAAATAACCAGATAACCCTAACCCTAGAAAATCTCATCTATTTAAAGCATACAAATACAACCCTAATTTATTGAACAACCCCTCCCTAAATAATAACCTGCCTCAACCGCCCCCTCATATTCAAGTATTGAGCCCCACAAGGGGGATGGCAGCTGTAGGTGCCGTAGGGAAATAAACCACCCCCCCTAGGCTAGTTCATCTAGCCCACCTGGGCCTGTCCCGGTCCATCAATACTCCCCTCTCAAAGACCCACCTTGTCCGCAAGGTGGAAAGATAACTTCATCCTCAACTTTCTCATTATCACAAACGATGAGAACCTAAAGAGTTCGGTCCTTACATTTGTGCCCCGGTGTATATATTTCCTCACATCTGAAACAGAGTCCCTTCGCCCTCTTCTCCTGTAACTGTGTTTCTGTGAGCTTCTTGAAGTTGTCTCGAGTCTTCCACCGACAGTCTTCTCCTTTGGGGTCTCCCGAACGACAAGCATATCCGAAATTATTATACTGTTTTACACTTAATAATCAATAATAAGTAAAAGAAAGATAAATGACATAAAATAATTTTTTAAACGTGATTATACTAAAGCAAATAAGACTCAATAGTGATAACTAGAAGCAAGAAAATTGGCACTGTATCAATTCCTTTGGGTTGTGAAGAACACTACTCTGGAGAGTAAAAATTGAAGGCCATAACTTGTACCATAAATCTAGTTGAATACATCCTAAAGAAGAGAGAAATGATAAATCAATCCAAAAAATGAGTTGACAGATGAGAAATCCTTCTTGAAGTGGAAGACACAGTGCAAGAATATCACTATCATCAACAGAATCACGACTTTGGAAATATATCTTTTGAAAGCTTGAAAGTTTTCTTGCACATTATCATATCGATCAAACTTGGTTGAAATATTGGTTGATTGAATCTATTTTTTTTCTATTGGAGCTTATGATTGGTTTCATCAATTTGAGTTAGGTTGGGTTGACTTGATCAATTGGGTTAGATTTATACTTATTGGATTGGTTTTGATTGGGTAAGAATATTGTAACGGGTTAAATCGACTAGGTTTTCGCTTGAGTAGATCTAAAACGGAATATATGGAGTGTAATTTTAGTAGTAATAGACTTAGTGAGGGGATTGTGACTTTGGGCGATCAAGTCATTAATAAGAGTACATGTTTTAGATATCTTGGATCTATTGTTCAGAGTGATGGTGAAATAGATGGGGATATTATCAGCAGAATCCAAGTTGGATGGTTGAAGTGGAGGAATGCATCTGGCTTGTTATGTGATAGAAATGTACCCCTCAAACTTAAGGGAAAATTCTATAAGATGGTAGTGAGGCCTGCAATGCTTTATGGTGCCGAATGTTGGCCTTTAAAAGAGAAGCATAATACTGAGATAAGTGTGACAGAGATGAGGATGCTCAGGTGGATGAGTGGCTTTACCCTTAGAGATAGGATACGAAATGAGCATATACGTGAAAAGGTTGGAGTAGCTCCAGTAGAAGATAAGATTAGAGAAAGTCGCCTTAGATGGTTTGGTCACATAAAACGGCGGCCTTGCGATGACCCGGTTAGGAGAGTAGAGGCATTAGATTTGATTTTTGTTAAGAAAGGTAGGGGACTAGGGGTAGACCTAAAAAGACTTGGTTAGAAAATATTAGGAATGACCTTTCTTTATTAGATTTAAACGAGAATTTGACTTTTAATAGGACACAATGGAGTAAAAGGATTCATGTAGCCGACCCCACGTAGTGGGATAAAGGCTGGATGTTGTTGTTGTTGTTAAATCGAATAGGTTTAAGCTGAGTTAATTGAATAGTTGGTTTTTTTCTTTAAATATAAACAGAGGTAGACTAGACTAAAATTTCAATAGGCATGACTTAGTGTAGAGCAATCTTATTGATTACCTACTATATATGATTACGATATCATTTATCCTCCATTTAGGAGGATTTTACTAATGTAGAATCCTAACTTCATGCGCGGAAGATTGACTTTTCAACCTTGCAACTATATCGCTTTATCACATTTGTCAACTAATTTTATTGAACTTTCTAGGATTTCTTAGAAACTTCTTTTTAGAGCTTTCTTGGTTCATGGATCTTGGGTAGCAATTTCATCTTTAGGAGCCTTCAACAAATGTCCAAAATTATAACTTGGGTTTACTACCTTACTTGACTTGGCTCTATAGTGATTTCTTCTCATCTTCCAAGCTTGTTAAAATTGATGGACTTAATTTTGCATAGATGTTTTATTTTAATTAGCAAGAGAGTGGGTCCTTATGCTGCTTCTTTAATAATGGAGATATATCAAATTTTGATAGCTTTTACTCCATTGCTCTTTTGAAAGACAGATTTTTTTTCTCCTTTTGGATGCTTTTGGGCATCTAAGGGCATGCCATTGTACAAGATATGCGGCCTTGACCACAACTTAATCCCCTTCACTTTGATTGAGTCAATCATGATAAGTTTTATTACATCAATAAATTTTGTAGCAATTTGTTGGAGATGGGTTACACGTCTTGCACCTCTATCATTTATTGTATTTGCATGTTGCCTTTTTTTCTCAAGGTGGTGACATTTAGATTTGACATTCCCGTTAATAAGTCTTCCAAAATGCCTTATTATTAATTTGTTTGCCATTGACGTGCTAGATTCGTTTTTGAATAGAAATGCCTTTCCCTTCTTTGTCAATTGGCACAAATAGGATTGTAGATGTAGTGCCATACATCTATTATGAAGTTACATGCTATCAAAAATTACTTGGCAGATGACAAGTTGAACTACCACGGATACCATCTTATTAATGTGATTCATGGTGATTGCGAACTTTAAGCGGCACTCGTGATCAATCTTCTATTCAAATCTTTTCTTAATCCATTCTAAAGAGTAAGGATTAGGTGGGCAGTATCAAACACTAATTTTTACACCAAATTGGAATGGATGAGGTTGTCTTGGTTGTTGGTGTTGATGATGGCATCCATCACCTCTTGCTTCACCTATATCCTCAAGGCAAACAACTCCTCTCATGTGTCCACATTAACAGATGACCCTGTTGCTATTTTCTTCCGCATTGCTATCAGAGATAAAGATAGATCCATCTTGTTCAGTGGACTTCATACGATGTTTGCCACTACAAAATAATTAGTTTTTCTTTCCCATTGTTCTTTTGTTGAAGGAAAGTTAAAAATGTAGTTTCTAGCATTTTTTTTTCCTCTTGTGTGATCAAGTGTCTGACAACGATCACAAAACTTATTGTTCTTATAATAGTAGGGCCATCATTAGTATTTTTTTCCTTCTTTCCTTTGAATAAAGAAGATTCGACTTCAAATGGTTCTGTTCTCCCTTTTCTTTGGTTTTTGTGCTTTATGGCTATTGCCATCATCATGGACTGATTGAGATTGATAATTATGAACAAATAGAGTTCATTACCAATTTGAAAATAAAATCATTACATGTATTTCATCAGTGTTTGTACCTCATTAAGACTTAATACCAATATGATAACTTGACGTTCGAATTTCATGGTGTACTCCTATATAGGTTGTTTTTGGCATTACCTCAAATTGCCACTTATTCCACCAATCCTCATTATAACCCGTCAGGTAGAATTCTAAGCATATCACTTGAACATTTCTCATGTTAACTCTTGATGATTATTCATTTTTAGATGGACATTCCACCATGTCAGGGCATAGTGACTTAACTTCAGTCAAGCGAAAGCAATCTTGCTGTGGGTGCTATACCCATTCAAGATCAAGCAAGTCTTAGACTGATCAATCCATGCATTGAGCTTTTTGGCATCAACTGCCCCATCACATCATAATCATTGTTTTGGTTTCTACTTTGAATGATCATATCCTTCATTGATAAGTGGTAATTATTAGATTTGAATTTGTCTGTAGATAACAATATAACACCCGACCTTATTAGCAAGCAATCTTTTAGGTATGAGTCAGAGAACTTAGAAAGAGAGAGTAGGATGAGTGTGTAAAATGAGATAGAAATAAGAGTACAAAGTATGCTCATAATAT